TCTCCGCGAAGTGATTTTACTCCGGTTGGCAAACTCTTTTTTCTTTTCTTTCTTTATTTTTTTGGCCAACTGTTTTCTGTTCCGAGGCACTGGTTCAGCCCAAAGCATCTCGGTTATGGGGATGATCTGTAATAGTTCGCCTCTGTTTTCGTGCGCCTTCCGTATACTAAGCGGTCTCGAGGCTCTTTAGGAATACTGTGTTTTGGTGAGTACGTATGGAACCATGAAAAAACTCGTATCTTGATTTTCTGAAGTCTTTACATAACAGCGTTGAGACTTCAGACACGATAGGCATCTGTTTTTATGAAGGATATTTAGTTAAAAAAAAAAAAACCCTACACTGCTCACCATGCCAGTGATATGCCCATATTGAAGCTTCGTTTTGCTTGCTGTAATCTAGTGAGCTTGAATTTACAGCACTGTTCACTCTTCTGAAGTTTTGGGCGAGATTTGTACTAATTATATCGAGGGCCCCTTTGAAGGATGTGATGCACTGTCTAGTCCCTCGGGCAGTCACAAATGGGTGTGAGGTTGGGTGTATGACAGAAAGGTGCTTAAATTAGAAAACAAGACCATTTATAAGACATTCTTAGGAAGAAAGAATAAATTGTCAACGAGCACTGTAGTCTTGACATAAACTTTTACTGCTATATTATGAATCTCAGATTCTTTCAAAGTAGATTTTAATTGTTAGGTCGTGCGTTGGAAAGTCCTGACTCGTTTAATTCTGATACAGAGACATGAACACTAGTGATCATGTTAATCAGGATTCCATTTGAAAAATGATTGCTTCCCACCAGACCACCGGGTTTTTATTGTTTGGTTAGGGACTAAACATACCACAGATTGATAATGAATATAATTCTCTAAAATTCACACTGAACCTAACAGTTGGTGTAGTTTTTTTTTTTTTTTTTGATTTTTGCTTGATTGTGAAGATTAATATTCTGCAGTAATACAAAAGTCTTGATTGGGAAAATAAATTCTGTGGAATATTGGCTATAAATTTACAGAAATGGTTTAAAGTAGGATGTTGAGGAGCTTGTTTAATTCATTTGGTACACAATGCTTAAGCATATATTCAGTGTTGCCATTTTGCTATTTTAAAACAAGGTAGTGGTAAACTCGTGCTGAGACATACAATCTTTACAGTATTTTATTGCACCCACCTCTAATTTATGTAATATTAATTGACTTCAGTACTTATAGCTTTAAAGGATTTTTTTTTTTTCCCCCATCAATAGGGCAGGTTAAGAGATTAGAATAATTTTTTTGTTTGTTTTCGAAGCAGGGTTTCTCTGTGTAGCTTTGGAGGTTGTACTGGAACTCACTCTGTAGACCAGGCTGGCCTGGAACTCCCAGAGATCCTCCTGCCTCTTCCTCCCCAGTGCTGGGATTAAAGGTGTGTGCCACTGACACCCCCTAGAATAATTTTTAGATCCATTTTTATATTATGTAGGTTCTATAATCAGTTAAAAATATGCTTTTTCTACTGTTAGGGATTGAATTGAAACTAGCTAGGACTTTGTATGTGCTCTGCAAATGCTTTACCACCAAGCAACACCTCAAGCAGAAAACGTATTTACATTAAAATTTATTTTGAAAAGTAACTTTTGGGCCAGAGAGTGCTCAGATATGGTGCTTGCAAGCTTTCTGAGTTCTACCCTTAATACTGCACACAAACCAGTTTTGGTATTGTATTTAAGTGTTACTTTTTTTTTTCCCCCCAAGACAGGGTTTCTCTTTGGAGCCTGTCCTGGCACTCGTCTGTAGACCAGGCTGGCCTGGAACTGACAGAGACCCACCTGCCTCTGCCTCCCGAGTGCTGGGATTAAAGATGTGTGCCACCACACTTGTCTGTCATGGTGTTTTATACTTATGATTCTAATGTAATAGAGGAAGGAGGGTTTAGAAGTTTATCATCCCTGGCTGCTTAGGGGGTTGAGGCCTGTCTAGAATATATGAGACTTTGTTTCAAACAGGTTAATACAATACTGGGGTCTATGTGACTAGAACAGTAAGTGGGTAAGGGTCGATGAAGCCATAGGGACATACTTTTTTCTATTGGATTATTTTATTTCTTGGTAGACTTTGGCTTTCAAAGGATAATATTTACTATTGCTAATAGTCTTTTTTTAAATTTTGAGACAATATTCCATGTAACTTGTGTTGGCCTCAAACTCAGATTTCCCTGCTGCTGCCTTCCCGTTCTGAAACTAAAAGTATAGGACACTATACCTCGCAATATTACTCTTCTCATCTCACAAATATTAAGTCGTTTGGTTTGGTGAGTTATTAATATGGTGCTTTCTACCTCGTGATGGCCATTGTATTTGTATATTTCTAAAGCCATTTGTTCCTTGATGCCACTTTGTGAATTAGTGACTGATTCAAATGTTGTGAATTAGTGACTGATTCAGATGGCTTTCCTTACTGTTTCTTACTTGGAAATAACATAAGGTATGTACAAATACCTTGGTAGCAATAAAGTACAAGATAACCACCCCTTCACTTTAGACAGGGTCTCACTGTGTAGCCTTTGCCTACTGATTGTTGGGATTAAAGGCTTGTGCCACCATACCCAAATGAGATGACTTTTGAGTTACTGTTCACCCAGTGGCAGCCTCTTTCAGATTCCTGTGTTCAATCCATTAGAAATTCTGTAGCCTCTACTTTCTATGTTAGGCATATTTTCCCATCTGTCTGAAGCCCCTGATCAAATCTGTCCTTTGCCTGCTTTTTTTGCATTAGCACTAAGAAAAACTACAGTGGTTCTCCATTATATACTAAAATCAACATCTTGACAAACTGCCCCCAAATACAAGACCCTGCAATACTATCTGGGATCAGCTCATCTCTTGCACTTCCTACAGTTACAGTGTTGGCTTTGCTCTCCCTAGGATAGTGAATGGTTAAGCTTATTCCAATCATGGGGCTTCACTGGTGTTTGTTGGCTTGCTCACTTTGATAATATATTGTGTTATTTTCTCACAAGACCTGTCCTAAGAAGGGCTATCTTAATTTTAACTGTCTTGTTTTTATGTCCCCATAGTCACCTCCTTTTTGCTGTTTAACACTTAAACACTTTTAAAGCTGTATTATGGCTTTGGGTGATCCTGGCATTGCTTCTTAATGTCAAGAGAAACTTTGGCAAATATATGATAGATACTGCAATACCATTTAACATAATCAATGAGATTTATTTGTAAAAAGTTCTTTTGCTTTGTTTTTTTCGAGAGGAGTTTCTGTGTAGCTTTGGAACCTGTCCTGGAACTAACTCACTTTGTAGACCAGGCTGGCCTGGAACTCACAGAGATCTGCCTGCCTCTACCTCTTGAGTACTGGGACTAAAGTCATGCGTCACCACTCACCTAGCCTGTCCCGTCTGTTGTCATCCGCCCCACCCCCAGTAAAAAGTTTTACAAGAGCTGTGATTTTTTTTTTTTTTTTTTATTTTGAGGCAGGGTTTCTCCGTGGCTTTGGGGGCTGTCCTGGAACTAGCTCTTGTAGACCAGGCTGGTCTCTAACTCGCAGAGATCTGCCTGCCTCTGCCTCCCGAGTGCAGGGATTAAAGGTGTGCATCACCACCAACCAGCATGATTGCATATTTTAATTTGATATTGTTACTGTGTTTAGTAGTGTTCATTTGAACCAGCAATTTCTGAAAAAGTTTTATATATATATATATATATATATATATTTATACACAAGATTTCATGTAAACTAGGCTGACTTCAAACCTCATTTGTAGCTGAGGATGACCTTGAACTGGTGATTTCCTGCCTCCAAATGTGCCACTGTGTCTAGTTTTATGTGGTGCTAAGTATTGAACCCATGCTAGGCAAGCACTCTGCCAACTTACTTGTCTCTTGTGTTCCCCCAAATTCATAAAACAAAAAAACAAAAACAAAAACAAAAAAAACCCAGAAGACTAGGACCAAACAAGCTCTAAAGGGTGCAGAGAGGATTAAGATTTTGCCTATCTGGGTTTCAGTTCTTCACTACAGACACCAGTGTTTTATGGTGTGTCCTGTCAGAAAGACCACTGTAATTCAGTTCATGTGTGTTCTGCTTCTTCCCCTACTCATGTAAATACTTGATATCCTCTCCACCCACCTGGCCAACAATTCTCCTTCAAAGTGAATTACTTTTTCTAGAGCTGCCTTTTAGGATTTTAACTAATTGTTGAAAGCTTTTAAATTGTGTCTTGCAATATTAATAGTTCTGATAGTTTTGCTTATGTGATTTTTTGGTGGGTGATGCTGGCTGTTGTAGTTGTTTTTTTAGCTTTAACCTCCCCTGCTCTCCTACAAGTCCTTCCTAACTACCCCAGACTGTCCTCTAACTTGAGATCTTGCTTCAGCCTCCAGAGTCCTGGGATTATAGGGTGCGGACCACCACATCATTTGGCATTAGAGTTTATTCTCAGTTCAAAGCTAAACAAAGACCACAAAGTATCACTAAAGTGAGAGATTTATTTATCATAAAGAAGAACTGATTATTTTGGGAACAAATAAGTCTATTTTAGTTTTATGTTACACTGATACCCTGATCTTAAAAAGCCTTAATTTTTTAGCAGGGTGTGGTGGCACTCGCCTTTGATCCCAGCATTCAGGAGGTCGAGGCTTGTGGATCTCCTGAGTTTTGGGCCAGTATGGTTTATAGAGCAAGTTCCAGGACAGCCAGGGTACACAGAGAACCCCGTCTTGAGCCCCCCCCCCCATTTTTTCAAGTGTGTGCATGCATGCATATACATGAATCATGGCACACCTATGGAGCTCAGAGGGAGTTGGTTATCCTTCTATCATGAGTTCTGGGGGTAGAACTCAGATTGGCAGGGTTATTATGCACGTAGTCACTGAGCCATCTCTGATACCATTTGATTGTTTTTGAGACTATGTTGGTTTTATTATGCTTTTACTCACTGAGCCATCTCTGATACCATTTGATTGTTTTTGAGACTATGTTGGTCTTGAATTTGACATGGTGCATTAGCTTCCAGAGTGTTGGGATCACAGGGATGCCAACACATCCAAAGTGATATTCTTTTATTTTTTTAAATTATTCATGGACAAGAAAATACTGTCTGAAAATGGTACTGACTTACTAAAGGAGTTGATTTATTTGATAAAATCTAGTAAGCTGGTGATGTGGTGGGGATATGTAGCTCACTTGGTAGATTGCTTGCCTAGTGTGTAAAAGCCCTGGGTTTGGTGGTTCCATAGGCTGTAGCTTGAACACTCAAGGAGGTAGATCAGAAAGATCTAGAACCTCAAGATTATTTATCCTCTTCTACTGAGTTCCATGCAGCCTTGAATACATCTCAAAACCAGCCTATCCACCATTGAACCTACTGACCGAGCAAGTCAGTTTCTTGAGATTAACCATTTCCCCCCCAATTTTACTTCTCCTGTTTGAGCGTTTCTGCTTCTGTCCCCTTTCCTCTGTCTTTTACTTCTTTTTGAGTCAGGGCCTTCTATGCTGTGCATCCCAGGATGGCTTCTTGATTTGACCCTCTTGTTT